GACAAATTCGCCATTTTATAGCATATAACTTTAATTTAATATTTTGGCCGAAGACGTTTATATTCTGCAGAAAACAACAGTATTTCTTAAAATAACTCAGATAAATCTATGTAGTTTTTGTTATTAATGATTTCAAGAAGCCAGGAAAATGACAGCATAAAAGCCTTCTCACCATGAAAACTTTTTTGAAATAGATTTTGATCCAGAAAATTGGTTCTTCATTCCTGCAACAAGACATGTTCAGATAGGAGGGTATCTAATCAATCTATTAGCATAAGATATTGATGGCTGGCTCTATCTATTTTGGTTATAAATCACTAAATAAAAGTGGCCAGGAAAATGACAGATTTTCATGGGACAAACAAATTATTGACCGAAAAAATTATTTTAAGCGAAGTTTTAGTAAACAATATCCTCTGCGTATATTCTAGAAATGCTTACATAGGATAAGATAAAAAAAATTAGATTTTGAAAAATGTATGGAAAGTTTTGAAGCTAGTTATTATTGGAAATATTGTTTGGGACATGCCAGGAAAATGACATTTTGATATTCAATTAAATTTTTTAAGTATACAAAACAGTCAATGCTAGTACAGAGTCATTTTAAAATGCTAACAGCAATGCTATTTATAAATTTTTAAAAAAAAATGTTCTTTAAGCATTATAGTATTAGATCTTGGGGCAAGGGACAGTGAATGTCATACTTCGTGAGAATCACCCATATATTTTTAAATATTTTTAGTCAATGTTTTTAAAACTTTATATTATTTTATATATATTTAATAAAATTTCAACTAAGATTTATATAAATAAGAACATTTAAAATACTTTTTTGTTACAAAAATGTTGTTTAATGTATGATAAAAAAATCTTTCAAATATATTCACGTATTTTATATAAACACAAGTCACTATGTTCTGAATGATGTTAATATTAAAATCATACGTGAATTCATGGTATTTTCCCTTTGAGATTAGAAATATATATGAATCGGATTGAATCTCTGAGTCTGCAACAGCGACGAAAATTAAACTCCATCCAAATTCTTGAAACCATTGCAACGGCAAAAAGTTTTCTTCAACACAAAGCTTATAAAAAAAATTCCGTGCCTCCCAAAAGTGGTCGTAAATAGAAGAGGTCGTTACACAAAGGTCGGTCTTTCATGGAGGTTTCACTGTATTTTGTATACTTTGGATCCCATTTGTTGTTTTCTTTCAGGAAAAAAATTTATTACGAATATTTTATCACTGTACATTCAGACACTAACAATGATTGAAAAAAAAACTATACATTTCAGCATATTTAATAACAGTCATAACTTTAAATAGATTTTCGAATGAATTTAACTTAACGTGAATAAATCGACCAGTCCACTGTTCAAGTATACTTTCGTTGGTGCTGCGTAGGCGCAATATTTAACCCCCCATCCTGAGAATGAGTGGAAAGTAAATTCATAATTTTAAACATCAATTTTATGATTACTGGATTTGTTAGAAACAAATACCCCAATTTTAGCTACAAGCTTTAATATTTTGTTTCGCTGTAATCGCAAAAAGGAACTTAGAGCTACAGATTATTTAAAATGGAGACGTTTCTTACAGAATAACTTATGATCTAGTAAACAGTTTTTGAATAGTTAGGTATTCCAATTTTTGCAATATTTTGAAGAACGTATTCGTGTAAGGTAAAATATAACGCTTGAATGAAATCAGTCTTATGGTTTTATTAGGAATCAAATTTTGTTGTTGTCGTTTGACAAGTGCAGAAAAGTACAACTTTAATGGGACCAAAGGCGCGGATAATAATAAAATAAAATAAAATTTTCTAAAGAATTATTCGACTTATTGAATCTATGTATTTTGCCATTTAAAAATACCTTCCTTAAAATGAAGTAAAAATTTGTAATTCTTACANATAAAAAAATCTTTCAAATATATTCACGTATTTTATATAAACACAAGTCACTATGTTCTGAATGATGTTAATATTAAAATCATACGTAATTTCATCGTATTTTCCCTTTTGAGATTAGAAATATATATGAATCGGATTGAATCTCTGAGTCTGCAACAAATTGAACTCCATCCAATTCTTGAAACCATTGCAACGGCGAAAAGTTTTCTTCAACACAAAGTTTTATAAAAAAAATTCCGTGCCTCCCAAAAGTGGTCGTAAATAGAAGAGGTCGTTACACAAAGGTGGTCTCTCCTGAAGGTTTCACTGTATTTTGTATGTTTTCTTTCAAGAAAAAGAATATTGCGTATATTTTATTACTGTACATTCAGACACTAACAATGATTTAAAAAAAAACTATACATTTCAGCATATTTAATAGCAGTCATAACTTTAAATAAATTTTCGAATGAATTTAGCTTAACGTGAATAAATCGACCCGTCCAGTGTTCAAGTATACTCTCGGGTTTACTTTCGTTGGTGCTGCGTAGGCGCAATATTTAACCCCCCATCCTGAGAGTGAGTGGAAAGTAAATTCATAATTTTAAACATCAATTTTATGATTACTGGATTCTTTAGAAACAAATACCCCAATTTTGACTACAAGCTTTAATATTTTGTTTCGCTGTAATCGCAAAAAGGAACTTTGGTCTCAGATTATTTAAAATGGAGACGTTTCGAAAACATTTCCTCCAGAATAACTTATGATCTAGTAAACAGTTTTTGAATTGTTAGGTATTCCAATTTTTACAACATTTTGAAGAACGTATTCGTGTAAGGTAAAATATAACACTTGAATGAAATCTGTCTTATGGTTTTATTAGGAATCAAATGTTGTTGTTGTCGTTTGACAAGAGTAGAAAAGTACAACTTAAATGGGACCAAAGGCATGGATAATAATAAAATAAAATAAAATTTTCTAAAGAATTATTCGACTTATTGAATCTATGTATTTTGCCATACAAAAATACCTTCCTTAAAATGAAGTAAAAATTTGTAATTCTTACAATTCAAAATATTTTCAACTATTATTAAATAAAATTATAAAAAACAATAAATAATTATAAAAATTATTTTTTGCATGGAATTTGCTTTATATAAGCGAATTAAATTATTACGTACAAAAAGCGAAATGCACAAAAAAGAACATTTAGGGGCCCCAAATTTCGACCATTCTCCTGACCACCAAACTATTAGGACCCTATTTCCCCGATTGCAGTTGCCTACTATATGGCGAGAGTAAGGAATCGAATCCGCTAAAAAAATTTCCGTTTACTCAGAGAAAGTACGTTTTTGTGCCTGCCGAACTAAAAACGTTATGCTACCTCACATCGTCCACATCATGTTGACCACATCGATAAAAAGAAATAAAAAATACACGTTGTCTTTTTACATAACTCCAGAATCAGGGTGGATACTCTTTATATATTTCTCTGTGATTAAACTATAATATATATATATATATATATATATATATATATATACTTAAAA